GGCCTTTTACATACGTGTGACCAGATAGGTAAATAGATAGATATGTACGTAAATATGTCAATGTACATACTTACCAATCCTCACGGGAAAAGAAACACATGGTTTCTACGGGCCATGTGCATGTGAGTATGGTCAACCGGAGAAGCGGCATTGTGTTGCACGTAGGGACGCTTCGAAGGTACGTACGGGGCGATTCTGTGGTACATACGGGACGCTCAGACAGTACAACCGGGAGTGTTCGACGATACATGGGGACACTTCCATGGTACATATGCGGCGGTTCGAAGGTACATATTGGACGCATCTATGGTGCACGTGAGCACTTCGAGGCGTGTGCGTATCGTGCTGTGTCTACCATCGTACCGTTCCAGCCGTACCATCGTACCGTACCAAATTTAGCAGCATGTCATGACACCACTTAGCATGCTTTCCATCGTACCGTTCCAGCCGTACCATCGTACCGTACCAAATTTAGCAGCATGTTATGACACCATTTACCAGGATATATGCCTTGTTGGGGTTCGGGTCATGCGAAATTTGGTACGGTACACGGGTACGGCCACGACGGTACGATGATACAGGTGGCACGGTACAGTTCGCATGTCATGCCAAATTTGGCAAATGTCATGCTGAATCGGGCACATGGCGTGCTAAATGGGGTGCATATCACCCTGTACACTGCGCACCCCGTGTACCATGCTAGGTGTACCCCTTGTACCATTCCACGCGTACTGTACCCGTGAACGGGGCGCCGGCACTACCAATAGAGCATTGCTCTCCAAGGTCGATAAATACATACGTCTATTTATAATTATATATATATATGCATACATATGTATATATATATATATACATTGATTCATTTATATTTATGTTTGTACATGCACGTGCCAGTATTGTCTACTCTGTTGCTCTGCTGTGTAAACATGTCGTGGACAGGCCAAGGACTATACCGAAAACAACTCTCAGCAAGCGTCATGAATAGCCCAGGGTACGACATGCCATATCTGGAACGTGACATGCACTTGGTACATGCAGGCATGAAGACATGTTTTCAAACCCGTTCCGAGTACTGTTCCGAGTTCGACGGGACGGTGCAGTCTCATGGGCATCATGCCAAATCACACTGTTGTGCAGCGTTGCGTAGAGAACCGTAAGTGGCCAATCGAAAAGGTCATAGATACGGTGCAACACATGCTTTGCATTGTACCTATCTCACCAGTTACTGCCGTGAATAATAAACAAGCGGGAAGCCGTAGCGGCATGTGCAGTGCCATTGCTCAACGTTGCTGAACTGCCGATTTCGCAAGAGTGTGTGTGCGTCGGCACTGGCCGCTGAGCGATTGTCGGACCTTACTTATCGAGTGTTCATGACGCGGATGTTCGAGTTCAGTCATTCAGACAGGCTGGCAGCGAGATTTGCCACGGCTTGCGGTCACGTTTCTGATGTTGTAAACAATACCCTTCAACCCTGAAGCGGAGCGTGGCCTTCCGCCTGCAAGCCGCCAGCTGCGCCGCCGGACGGCCTATCGTGGCCCGCACAGCTGGGGCCCCAACACACAGCAACCTGCAGTGATGCACAAGCCTCCCCCCCTGCCCCAGGCCCACGCGGCGCAAGACCTTCTTGAGGCCGTCCTGACATTCTGCGAGGATTTAGGATTGCGGCGCTCACGATCGAGGTGAAACTAGACAGCTGGCATCAGCTGGCTTCCTAACGTAACAACATCGACCATCACACGCCGCGCTCGGACCGGTAATGCCAGCTCATCGGAAAAGATTCCAGCTGGATGAGAGAGCAGTTTAGTTGCCAGAATCTGCAAGGGCCGAAACAAGCAAATTAGGCTGAGCTAGGGTTTATAGGTTGTATACAATAGCACTACTAAGAAAAAAGCAGAGCATACTATAGCATACAGCAGTGGTATGTGACATGGACGCTGGCCTGAAAGTTGCCTTAAAGCATCTTAAAGCTTAGAGCGGGTGCAACACACAGAAGGCGTTCGCCCCTCTAGCGAAGACAAAGGCACCTTCCGGATCGTCCCCCCAGCCCATGGCTGAAGCCCTATGCTCAGGAGCTGCTGAGCTCTTTTCGAGTTCAGCCCCGAAATGACCCTCTAGTTGACTCCAATCCCCGATGATCCAAAATAACGTCGAAGCTCTGGGCCAAGACCGGTTTGGTCGCCTCGCAGCACCTCCTGACAAGACTTGGGATTGAGGGTTCCAGCTAGAAGGAGTTTTGGCTTGAGGGCATCTTTCCAGCCCTGGGCTGGCTTCAGCCCTTCTCTCGCAGTGCCGTGAGCTTAGCCGCTGTAAGAAGGGCTTCGGTCTCTTTCGATTTGCTGAAGGTCTGCTGCAAGTATGTCTTGCACTGGGAAGTCAACCAACGAGAGGTTCGGAGACACAAGTAATAGGTTGTCTTCCTGGCTCGAACGAGGGCGCAGTGCCACAAACCCCATTTCAGAGCCAGCCACGTCGATTTGGTAGGCTGCAACGACAGGCCAGCGGCAAGTCCGCTTAATGTGCGGCGCAGTGCATGTCCTGCTCCACATAAGCAGCCAGCGTCGCCTGTCGGATGCATGGCTGCATGACTTCGTCCGCCCAATGCTTGGAACATGTAACCTGGAACCAAAACCAGCCCTGATGTCCGAAATCCGGAAACCCACACCCGAGGCAACAAAAACTGTAGGATCCCAAATTTCAAAGGCCTGCCGCAGCGGCAGCAGCGCTGAGAGCAACGGGATGGCGACACGCACTGGCACGGTGGCCTCCGGGTGGCTCTGAGGTAAGAGTTCCTGCAGTCGCCCCACCCAAGCTTGCATGCATACCTCCACGACTATGCAAAACTACTACATCGACATGTTTCCGAGCTTTGGAGCTAAGATGAGCTAAGCCCGCAAGCTTGCTGAGACTTTTTGAGTTTCGGGCCCGGCATGATTTACAGATGCACCCTGTGACCTGTTTGAGACGGAGCTTTCACGAACACCTCAGCTTATTCATACCGAATGCACACTTGCGGGGGCGCCAGTCGAAGCAAGCAAGACTATGAGGAACATCACTTGCAGGCAGCTAGCCTCACTCTCCACAGTCTCACCTTGTTCAGAGCCAGCCAGAAAACCTGGAAAGCAAACAAAACTGAGTTTCGCAGGGGCAGGTGGGGACATCAGAACTGAGGCCTCATCGGTTTGGTGGAGCTGGGGGCAACTCACTAGATGCAGTGCGCGACATGATCAAGCGGAATCACGGAACGAAACATATGCTTCTCGTATCAGACTCTAGGGTGCGCCCAGAAGAAGCTACGACATCCCACAGCATGGTGACAACTGTGCCAGGCAGTGGAGTAGTCTCTGCAAAGGGCTACAGTGCCTCTTGTCGAGTCGATTTGGTCTGGCCGGGCCTGGCTCCGAAAACCGAATTCAGGCCCTTTCACCCTAAACCCCCAGTGTTCGATCCAAGAAGCGTAACCCGGTCATGATGCGTGCTGGCGCCATGTCCTGGTGGCACAGACGTATGTAAGGACCCGATCAAACAAACCCTGGGTGGGAAACTCACAAACAAAAGCATCCCTATTCAGAACCCAAGTCATTAAGCATATGTGAGGAGTTTCTTGATCACGGCCCTACATTAGGGAACATCGGGCAAGGTATGCCCGGTGTATGGCATGAACTGTCTGGGCTAGGTGGTCCGATTGTGAGGAGCCTCCAGCTGCATCGAGGCAATGGGAGAAACAATGGGGATGGCAGTTCGATGATGATGATGATGATGATGATGATGCTGATGATGGTGCTGGTGGTGGTGGTGCTGTTGCTGTTGCTGTTGCCGTTGCTGTTGCTGTTGCTGTTGTTGCTGTTGTTGCTGTTGTTGCCGTTGCCGTTGCCGTTGTTGCTGTTGCTGTGGCTGTTGCTGTTGCTGTTGCTGTTGCTGTTGCTCTCGCTGTCGCTGTTGCTGGCGCCGGTGCTGGTGCTGGTGCTGTTGCTGTTGCTGTTGCTGGTGCTGGTGTCTGGTGTCTGGTGATGCTGGTGCTGGTGCTGGTGCTGGTGATGCTGGTGATGCTGGTGATGCTGGTGCTGGTGGTGGTGCTGGTGGTGGTGCTGCTGGTCGTGCCGGTGGTGGTGCTGGTGGTCGTGCTGGTGGTGGTGCTGGGGGTGGTGCTGGCGGTGGTGCTGCTGGTGGTGCTTGTGGTGGTGGTGGTGGTGATGCTGGTGGCGGCGGCGGCGGGGGCGGTGCCGGTGGCGGTGGTGGTGGGTGGCGGTGTTATTGTTAATGAGATTCGAACGACAGTGATCGCCGCCGTCATCAGGTAGAAGAGCTTACAGTAGTCTTGAAAGGTGCCAGTCTCGACCTGCAGCATCTCCCTGGCCATAGGTATGGAAAGGGAGCCGAATCTGCTTCGGCAAATCGGGCAGCGCCTGCGCCACCGGGGTGTCGGGCAGGGTCTCAGGGTTTCATGGCAGTGCTCCTAAGACTACCGTGGTTCTTCATAATACTAGGGCAATGAATTTTGTACCTGCCACTGGTGCTGACAGCTTCGAATCCCAAAGGGTTGCTGCACCCGATCAAGCCGGAGCAAGAGCCCCAGGCCGCCAGGCTGGAGCTGGCGATTCGACGGTTTGATTTTTGCTTCCAAGCTTCTTGGCTAGGGTTTCTTTGTGAGGGAGTTTGGAGATGCTGCAAACGTGTTTCTCTGACAAGCTTCTTCAACTGATGACCGGTCTGAGGGGCCATATGACCGAGGACAGCTCTTTGCGATGCTCTTCCAGGGTTGCACTCCAACTCCAAGGAAGCTTACAGGGCTCTTGTTGAGGAAGTTGAAATTTAAGTTACCACTATGGGGGCCTGTAGTAAATAATAAGGCTTCTTTATCACAGCAACTTGAACTTAAATCCCTTAACAAGAACCCAGCTTATGAGTCACCGGATCAGCTGGGTTTTCTGTTTGAGGCTTCTCTCTTGCCGTACAAGTCGGTTGGCCTCGGTCTCAGCCGCTCGGCGCACTCGGCATGGAGATAGTGGGGACCTTGACTGAGGTCACCCTCCTGCATAGTCAGGGCTAATCTCTTCTTGAGACGACTCCCAGAGTATGATCCGGGCACTGCTGCGGGGCTAGGCTGTGCTAACACCACTGCAGGAGGCCAAATCATCCAGACGATTTAGCCACGAAGTGGGCCCTCGAAGCGGTCAGGAAAAGCACCGAAGATTAATTCGCGATGAGGTGGTGTTCTACGGAATTCTGTTGGGCCTGTCTAGAACTCCCACAAGGTTGTTTTAGAGTCAACAGCCACGGGGTTTGTTAGGGTCTGCAGGGGTAGGGGTTTCGGCGCTCACACACGGTAGGGGTTTAGGGTCTAGCCGCAGCCCAGCCCGATCCCTATTTGTGCCCGGGGGCAGCAAAGGCTTTGACCACCGGGCTTCAGCATCACCACCACAGGCCGTGTGCAAAGCGAGTCGAGGCAAATGCCTGTTGTCAGTATGCGACACATGAAGCTCTTTCTGCTCGCAGGCAAGCTTCTACTGCCAAGGTGCAGCATACCTCGAGCTCCTGCTGCAGAAGCCAGCAATAAGCAGTCACAAGTTTTCTCGATGTGTCCTTCGAATTCAATCTCGCCCCTCAGCCTGAAAGGCCTGCATCTAGAATATTTTGGCTGCTGCCGCTCCTGCCCGATACCTGGAAGACTTGGAGCATGTCTCCCCAACCTTGAAACCTGTTTCTTGCATTCCCAGGGCTGAATTTCGGGTAGGATGCTCAGACCCTTACGCAAGGTCGTCCCTCTGCCAGCTTCAAGAGAAAGGCTTTTGCTGATGGACATGGGCGACACAATCTTCGGTGTGGCCAGTGTGCTCGGCGTGACTACGCTGATGCTTCAACTCACGCAATCTTCACTTGTGTCTCCTTTTCGCTCTATGCAAGAACAAAGACTCCTCCGACTCGCTCTGCAGGTCGCTGCTGTGGCTCGATAGCATGTGGAAGGGTGACATCGCCATGGCACTGAAGGAGTCTTGAAGCCAAGCCTCTGTGACCTCAAAGCCTTGCAGCTGCTGCAAACTGCACGTCAGCTCGAAACTTGAAGGCCTGGCTACCCTGACTCTGAGATTCCAAACTGTTTGGTCATTTCAGATCGTCTTTGGTGGCTCTAGTTGAGGCATTTTTCTTCCGCCATGCTGCCATGTGGGACTTGATGCAATGATTGTCAGTCATGCACTTCTAAGATACTTGTGATTCTGTCCCAGCAGGAAGCACTGTGAGGACCTTTGTGGTCCAACTGGAGCCGGTGGTGCATCGATCGGATCTGCACGGGATTGAAGCAGTGTTGCGCCCTCCATGGAACCACCACTGCCAAGGACCGGTACTCAAGAAGCACGGAAAAGCAACAGCAAGGACACGAGCGAGCATGCAGAGCAACATCCAGCTTTACAATCCCCCACAACCCAGCGCCCATCTGGGGCTGTCTCTGCGCCTCGTCGTCGCGCTTCCAACTCCGTGATGCAGAAGCCTCACATCCAATGCGAAAAAATAGCGAGGTTGCTGGTGAGTTCTATCCTTGTTATTGGTAGTAGTATCAGCAGCGTTGTTGCTACTATGAGGGTTGCTATTATTGTTTGTGTTGTTATTGTTTGTATTACCGAGGTTAGTACTGTTGTGTGTTTAGTACTATTCTCAGTTGTTATTATGAGTATGGATATACCTGTAAGTAGAAGTGTGAGCATGGCCACGTTGTGATGATGTTGATGATGATTCTCAGCACTCCCGATATTTTTTGGCGCTATGGCTATTGTTGTTGTTGCTGCAGCGATTGCAGCGCCCAGCTGGCCTTGGCCCACAAGCCGACTTCGGGGTGCGATTAGGTTAGAGCTCGGAAGCCTCAAAGGCTTCGGGACACGAATCCCTCAGGCTGATACCACATACAAACTCTGAAATCCTCAAACAGAAAGCCTGCAGCCCTGAATAGCCTCAACCCTGAGCTCGCGGTACCGTCATGGGGTTTGAGGTTTGGGCTTCCGGGGTTTGGCAGTTTGGAGCTTGGAGGCTGGAATATGGGAATAGGACCTACTGCTGAAGCTTCTTTAAGTATTTTTGACATCGCCGATGTCTTGTGTCCGGGGAACCAAATCATCTAGTAGCTTTCCTAGATCCTACACTGAGTCAGACCTCAAAGGCTCCTGAATGCACACACCCGCACAGACTCAGCATCACACTGGCTGATACGTTTTAGACTCGCTGCTTTAATGCACGTATTGTTGAAGGATTGCAGCCCGGTCGCCAGTTCCTGAGACGATCGTCCACTACTCGCATCTCCTGCATGCAGTGGCTGATCACCGGAATCACGGGCAATTGCAGCTGCATCGATGTCACATTGCTGTTGTTGCACTTGATACGCCTTCTTACATTCCATCCTCATACCGTTCATAACATTGGGGCAGCTGTTGTTCTTGCCTTGTCGTCGGCATTGTCGCTGTTCTCGACGCTGCTTTCTTCTGGAAGTCTTGTTGCTGTGTTGTTTACCTTGCTTGTCTGAGCTATGCGCTATTGCTATTGCGAGTGCTCGGTGCGCTGTCGCTAGTATGAAAATCCGGGCTAAAAGATAGGCGGTTGCCGGTGTTTGAGCGGACGGGCTGCGTTCGGGCACCGAGATTGAAAGACCGGTTGGCGCTGCAAGTGGCCGCCAGGCATGCCGTTCGCTCTGTCCTCACGCCACTCCATCTCCACCAGATCCTTCCACTTCTCCTGCACATAGCTTCTTCTCTTCAAAGCTTGGGGATTCAGGCTTCGTGATCCTGGCACGAGACGACTAACAATCGACCCCGGATCCAACACTAAAAACGGTTTCAGCGCATCTATATCGATCGATGATCATACCATGGAGCTTTCTAATTCCTGATCGCTGCCAGGACGGCGCATGAGCATTTTCGATGCCCAAAAACTTCCAAACTCGACTTGGGGACATTTGACACAAGTGGTGGCTGGGTGGGTGGGTGGGGGGTCGGGCGGTTGGGTGGGCGTGGGCGTGGGCGTGGGC